TTCCCCAGGCTGGCAGCCAGCCCACACTCACCACTGTGCCAACCACCACAGCAGCGTGACCATCGGCCTCCATGTGCTCCTCGCTGAGCGCTTCCACCACGTCGCAGTCCGGCTTCAGGAAGAATTGCATGAGTTTCTGGCCGATCAGGTCATGGCTGCTGTACCCCAGGAGCCGGCAAGCGTTGTCATTGGCAACCAGGATCTGCATGTGGTGGAGAGAAGGCACCAGCATCACCAGCAGTACCCTCAGACTCCAGGAACAGCAAGAAGATGACCCAGGCACCCGCGAAGGGGGAGACCCATCCTCTCCCCTCCATCACCGTAGGCAGGCTCACACAGTGACACCTTGGGACCTCTGTGTCTGACCGAGTGGAAACAAGAACATCCCAGACAAGATGGGCGTGTCGAAACCAGGAGGCAGCGGTGGACACGCATAACTCTTCCAGCATTCCACCTCTTTGCACACAGACACGAGCGTTCGTGCCAACACGTTTAGCTCAAACACAAGCACCGTTCTTATTTCAGTTGGGCCAATACTCCCGCAAGCATGAGGAAATAACAGGCCCTGTCCTCTCCCTGAGTCCCTGTGTTTGACTGAGTCACATTTAGGTCTTGGAATTCACATTTCTTTTGTTACCGTAGAGGTAAAACCAAATGTTTTCTAATCACACTTAAAACGCAAATACCTCCGAGTGAGGTTACAGGTTGAAGGCATAGACCCCAACCCCACGCTGCGGCACAAAGCACAGCAAATACCTCTGCGGTCTTGGCATCCACGGTGAAGACAGCCTTGTTGGGGTTACCCGCGGGGGCCGGGAGCAGGGGCGTGGAGCAGCCCAAGGACAAGCTGCGAAGCAGCGAGCAGCAGGATGTGCTGCCCAGAGACCCAGCCGGGTCCGCCTGCTCGGCTGTGGTTGGGCATTGCACTTTCCCTGTGCAGATATTTTGAGCAGCCAGTGACGAGAGACAGTAGGAGCTCCATCTGTCTTCTGGACAGAAAAGAAAGGAAGCATGAGACCCAAGGCTGCCAGGAGCTCACTTCCTAAACACAGGAAGCCCACAGCCTGGCCCCCAACCCTGCAAAAGGAATAAATTAGCCTGCAGCTGACTCACATGTGGACAGTCCTGAGCCCACCTAAGCACTCCAGGGCTCCAGTCAGCAGAGCTGTGTCCCTCAGACCTCAACACTTCCCTGCAAATAACACTGAGGTCTCTGCCCATCAGCCAGCCAAGGGGCGCTCTCCATGTCGTGTCCATCATTCCAGAACCCACAGCCCAGCTACTGCCCTGTCACTTGTTGCCAGAAAGTGACTAATTCAAGTGCTACCTGCTGTCTCCTTCCCTCCACTCTGCTGAACTGGTTCCCCCTCACCTCCAGAAAGTATGCTCTTAGGAATACCTCCAGTGGCTCCCCGGCTCCACCCCAGCCTCCTGCCTCCTACAGTGCCTGCCTCAGTACAGTGCCCTGCCCCTCCCCTTCCTGGCCTCTCACCACTGCCAGGCTCAGCCTCAGATCCCCTACTCCCCTCCAGACTCCGGCAGCTGCCCCCCATCTCAGTATTGCCAGCCTCCCCTAGAGGCTCAAAAACCACCAGAGTCACCCTCCTGTACCTCTGGGTCCTTCATTGAGGAGCCCCCACCTTCTCAGTTAGTAGCCTCACCAGACCAAAAACCCAAGGTCAGCTCCACTGCCTTGCGCCTCAGGACACACACTGTGATGCCAGCTCTGCCTCTGCTCCCTAATGTCCCGTCCCTGGGCCAGCACACCTGGCTGAAGCCCAGTCCTGAGAGGTGGCTGCCTCATGACCCTCAGCCCCGCTCTGTCAAACTGCTCCTTCCTCAGGACCAGACCCCTCCTCCCTACCTGCAGCCCATCCTCTGGTTCCTTGCAATCTCTCCTAACATCCCTGTGTTCCAGGACCACCCAACTTCAAGGGTGCACCCTACTGTCTCCTCAAGCAGTTCCCCCCCAGATGATGAGCCCCTCAAAGGCAGAGTGATGCTTTCTTCCTCACTGTATTTGGGCCCATGGGTGTCTGGGCTCTGGCTGACTTGGAGAAGTCAGTGAACAGGTGGGCAGTGGGGGCCCAGCTCCCAGGCGACCCCAGTACCCCCACCCACCATAGCTGTGAGCTGGCTGTCCCCACCCCGTCTGCTCTGCCCGGGTCCATGAGGGCCTAAGCCTGCAGTGCAGCCAGCAGGTACCAGCTGAACTAAACCAGCACACCCATGTCTCACCTGCAACACAGCCCAGCCCGGGACAGCATTCCCCACACAATAAAGTGAGACAGCATTTTGCTCTAATTGACCCTGAAATATGGAAAAGAATTCCAACTGCTGCCTGAAAAGGACTTTCCTGCCTAAGAATCTCATAGAACAGACACAGCAGGAAGAGCCAGCGCACAAGGTGCACCTAAATCTACATTTGTCTCTGCAAGATTAGAGGCAACATGCCCACAGTGAACACAGGGAGGTCATCACCGGAGAGTGCGATCCTGCTCTGGCAGAGTTTCGAGAGTCCATTCCTTCTGCTCAGGTGCCTGTGGGCTGAGGACACAGACTTGCTGGGCTGGGGGGAGGCCTGCGCAGCAGGGCCCTCAGTGGGCGCCAACGAGGGCGAGTCCCTGCGCAGGCACCTCCAGTCCTCTTCCAAGGCCGGTGAGCCTCTGTCCTCCATCAGGAGACCGTAGGCTGTGGGACAACCGTCAACTAGAAAAAAAAAGGACCCTGATCAACACCTGCAAAGCGAGAACGTGAAGACAGTTTGACCAACTAATTCTCCCCAAGGCTGCGTTAAGCTCAGCCTCAAAAGACACACACCCAACTGCCCTCTGGGTCAGAACATACAATGTGAGGATAGTAGAACTAAAGTCCTGCTAAAAGCTCTTAAGATGCATGCACAGAAAGAGATGGGAAGGAAGAAAAAGAGGGGAAATGGACCAGAGTGGGAGAGGGCCGTGGGGAAGACTAGGCTGCAGGTCAAGAAGAACATTACTGATGCCACAAATCAGGTGGGTCCGACCAGTTGCACCCACAATCACCCACAGAGCTTCCAAAAACATAGCAATATAAGGCCAAGGCTGAGAGTCTGCAGATGGACCCACAGTCTGGAGATGGGCCCACAGGAGATTCATGTTTTTAACATTTTATTTTTAGATACTTGTAGATTTTCATGCAGATATAAGAAAAAAATGCAGAAAAATCCCATGTGGCCTTCACTGGGTTTCTTCCAATGGTGACATCTTACGTAACCACAGTATAGAAAAGCCTCCTGGAGTCCTGGGCCAGGGGGTCTTGAGAAGTGAGGAGTCCCAGGGCCGGGGCAAGTCCCATGAGAGGAAGGAGCACTTTCCACGAAAAGACCCACAGAGCCTGCATCATCCAAATTTCAGGGAGAGGTTTCCTGTCAGTCCAGCAACAAGCTGGCATGGTAAGGACACAACAGCGTAGGGTCTTCTGGGTCCGAACTTGGGTGGTGGGTTTAAATGGCTCACTTTACTGTTATGATTGACAACTAATACTGCATTTATCCTCTTGTATGAGTCAACTAGTATACACTGAAAATTCAGAGACGTTTTATACACACATGTACATCCAGCATGGAATCCTGAAAAGCAACAGCTGAATGAGTAGGAAGACAGAAAGAAAGAAATTGTATAAGAAACCCTCAGAATGCACAGCTTTCCTTCAAGTAACAACATTTAATGTCACGGGCTTACGCTTCCTTCTGTAAGCATCTACTTGGACTAATTATTTCTGCAATAAATAACTATAACATGATCCTAGTTTTCTACTACAACCAACCTATAGACAAAGCACAGAAAACTGATTACAGCCTCAGACTACATTGTAAATGTTACAAAACTTTACTTTGTAAAACACAAGTACTAAAACTCTTCAGACTACATTGTAATTGTTACAAAACTTTAGTTTGTAAAAGTAACAAGAACCAGGAGAAAGGAAGAAAATGTGAATCAGAGGGTTAGGGCAAGAAATGCTTTTCATGAAAAGAAGAGTCTTAAATTGATAAACCAGGAAGTGGATGCAGGGAAGACAAATCCTTTCCCCTCTGCGCTTTCTGCACCATCTGTGGTCCCTCGGGGCCAGCCCAACGCTGGGGCACAGCCCAGCCCCAGGGACCACAGCCTCCCAGGGCCTCTGGCCTGAGCAGAGGCCCTGACATCACAGCACCTCAAGTCACTTCCTTCTCTCAGGTTTAAGTGTGAGTAGAGCAGCAACCAGAAATATGTGTAAGGCCAGGCCTAGGTTTGTAGAATAGTTTTTTATTCTTTTAAGCAATGGCAGTTTGGGGCTGGGGGTGGTTTGGGGAGCAGAGTGGGGGATTACCGTGGGAAGCTGAACCCAGAGACCCTCGTGGTGCCTTAGCGTGATCCTACTCCTGCTGCCAGTTTCTACCCCAGAAGGTGTGAGGGGCCCCGCTCAGACCAAACAGAAGCCAGGACAGCTTTGCAGGGAGCTTCGTGGAACGTGCTCCTTCCTCGCGTGGGAGAACTTCTGGAGGCAACCATCTTTGTGCGGCTACAACACGACCTAGGGAGCAGAGAACTCCAACCGCCGCACCGCTGCTGTGCAACCGAGAGCAGAGGCGGCCGGGAGGAAGCCCGCAGGTGGACGGCAGAGGGGAAGGCGGCGAGGGTCGCTGCGCCACCGACGAAGCCGCCCTACCGCCCGCCTTCCTCCGAGCTCCAGGGTTGGCACCCCAAGCGGTACCGGGGCGACGGCTGCGGTAACGGAGGGTGCACGCAGGACCCTCGAGGCGGCGCGGGCAGAGCTGAGCCTGGCACGTGGGCGTGAAGCGCCTTCGCAGCAGAACCCCGCAGGCAGAGGTGCGCGCCGCCCCTGGGGCGGCCGGCAGAGCTCGGCCCGCGTGCGCGGGGGCAGCCAGAGCAG